CATTTCACACGGCCGGCGTCACGGGACACGCGTAGGCATTTCACACAGAGTCACGGGACACGCGTAGGCATTTCACACGGCCGGCGTCACGGGACGGGTGTCTCTGGGCCTCTGCTCTCACCCGGGCCCGTTCGTACAAGTGGGCCCCCTAGGCACTCATTCACAGTTTTGTCCGACGCTGCAGTGGAATGTTCCGGTGCAGGTTTTGTATGCCCATGCAATTTCAGTTCCCCTGAGAACTAGAAATGAGGCTTCTGGGCCATAAAGCAATCCTACCTGCTTGTGTGTGTGGCAGTACTGGCTGGAGCTCCGGATCTTGAACTTAACAGGCAGATGCTTTACTGTTGTGTCACACCCCTTTATTTCTCTGACAAACACACCTTTATGTATTTATATTAACTTCTATTCTTCTTCCCACCCGTACATCACTGGGTATTGAACTCAGGGCTTTACACTTGCTAGGCAGGCAATTTTACTTGAGCCAAACCCCCAAAACCTTTTGCTTTAGTTATCTTTCTAAGAGGGTCTCATGTTTTCGCTAGGAAGGGACAGACGTCAGTCTCTTACTGAGGCATCCCATGGAGGATGACAGATGTGGGTCACCATACCCAGGTGTTTTTTGTTTTGTTTTTTGTCTATCAGGGGAATCGAACCCAGGGCCTCAGGCATGCAAGGCAAGTGCTCTACCACTGAGCCATCTTCCCAGCCCATCTGTGAGACTCTTATCTCCAATTAACTTGAGCTGTGGCTCAAGTGGTAGAGCACTCTCCTTGAGCTGAAGAGCTGAAGGACAGCGCCCAGGCCCAAAGTTCAGGCCCCACGACCGGACTCCGAAAGAAAAAAAGAAATTCTTATCTTCAAATGACCACCCAAAAAGCCAGGAATGGAACTGTGGTTCAAAGTGGTAGCCAGCTAGCCTTGAGCACAAAAGCCTAGGGGACAGTACCCAGACCCTGAGTTCAGGACTCAGGACTAGCATTTAAAAAAAAATAAAAGGGGCTGGGAAGGTGGTTCAGTGGTAAAGCACTTGCCTTGCATGCCTGAGGCCCTGGGTTCAATTCCTCAGCACCTTAATAAGCAAAAAAAAAAAAAAAAAAAGCCAGAAGTGGCACTGTGGCTCAAGTGGCAGAGCGCTAGCCTTGAGCTGAAGAGCTGAGGGGCAAGGCCCACGACCAAGGGCTGGGAAGGTGGCTCAGTGGTAGAGCGCTTGCCTTGCATGCCTGAGGCCCTGGGTTCGATTCCTCAGCACCACATAAGCAAAAAGAAAAAAGCCAGAAGTGGTGCTGTGGCTCCAATAGTAGAGTGCTAGCCTTGAGCTGAAGAGCTGAGGGACAGCGCCCAGACCCAGAGTTCAGGCCCACGACTGGACCCAAAATATAAATAAATAAAACTGTGTTGGAATTTTAAGGCACATGCCTTATGTGCCTTAAAATCCCAACACTTGGGATCCTGAGGAACGGCCAGTTTGGATTACACAGAAAACCCTATAAAAGTGGGGGAAGAAGGGGGAGGAGAGAGGCTTAATTTCCATGGATCTTCCAATGTTTTGTGATTTCTAGTTTCATCCCAGACAACGTACTTTGTAATTTCAACTCTTTAAAAAATTTTGAAGTCCAGTACCCGTGGCTCACGTTTGTAATCCTAGCTACTCAGGAGGCTGAAATCTGAGGATCACGATTCAAAGCCAGCTCGGGCAAGAAAATCCTTTAGACTCTTATCTCCAATTATCCACCAAAAAATTCAGAAGTAGAGCTGTGGCTCAAGTGGTAGAGTGCTAGTCCTGAGTAATAAAGCATAGGGACAGCAGCTAGGCCCTGAATTCAAGCCCAGGACTGACACCAAAATAAAAGGAAAGGAAAAGCTAAAAAGAGCAGCTAGGCCCTGAGTTTAAGACCAGTACAGGCACCAAAAACAAACAAAAGCCCATGGTGATTTCTCATTTTCTTGTGATCCCTAGTACCTCACACACCATAGGGACCTCCATGAATTGGCTGAGTGGGTTTCTGACTGCAAACCTGTGCTTCTGAGAGTGTGAGTGTGGACAGGTGGGTGCAGGCGGGTGGGCAGTGCAGGTCCAACAGGAGTACAGGCGCAGGCGGCGGTTCAGGTGCGGGGAGTGTGGTGGGGCCTGGCGTGACCAGGGTCAACAGTGACAGCCGGACCTCCTTGGCTCTGCCCACAGAAGCGGATGCAGCAGATCATGGCCCACTGCTTCCTGGCGGTCAAGTCCAAGCTGGAGTGCAAACTGGGTTACTTTGACCTGATTGGCTGTGATTTCCTGATTGATGAGAACTTCAAGGTGCTGTTCTGGGTGGATGGAGCCGAGTGTGCATCCCGGTCACCCTGCAGGCCCATGGCCGGCTGGCAGTCCCCTGTCTGCCCCCAGCCCTGGGGGTGGGGTGCCCATAAGGCTCAGCAATAACAGGTCCGATCTGTACCCCCTGCTCCAGACAGACCTCAAGGCCTCCA